AAGAAAAGAAGGGAAGCCGACAGAGTCAAGCCTGCAGCACTGCGCTCAAAAGACAAGTACATTTTCAACTGTTCAACTCAAGACTCAAATACAAGTGTGACGGTCAATTACAGAGATCAGACTGTCAAGAGTCGGCAGCTCCCTCCACTGTTGTACCCATGCAGCAGCCAGGCCCCTAGCTGAGGGGGTTCCAGGTTTGCTTCAGACAGCTTTTAGTAAGTTAGGAGAATTGTAGGTTTGTTACTTTACCTTCACAGATGACGTTTTCATTCAATACACATCTCACTGCAGCATACAGAAGTCTGTTAGGAGCACAGGGTTTATCTAAGCAGACATGACAATTGTGTACTTAGCAGGTGATTTCTCAGAAAATCATCACCATTAAAACCCTTTTTATTGCCTGCAAGTAGTGATTATTTCATCTTTTCACCATGCTGCTCCATAAATAGGAGGGCCATGCCTGCTCCCAGGGAATCCGAAATAAAGTACAAAGTCTTCAGCAGTGCAGGAAGCCATATGCTGGCAAATACGCAGAACGTTAAAATATAGTGCGTGCTCAATGAGGGGTCACCTCTGTGTCACCTCCTGCCTGTGGGTCAAAAGGCAATCTCTACATCTAATTAACAGAAAGTCTCATAAGAGGTTGACCTATTATGAAAGCAAAAGCAATAAGAGGCAGATGTGACAATTAGCAAAGGTACCTGGGTTAAAGGTAGTGTTTGAACACCTCTTTCTCTCTGGCTGTTACAAAGGCTCGATTAAAGCTCTGAAGGCCGAGTGAAAGATCAAGTTCAGCTCTGGCAGATCATGCTTGAGAAATACCAAGTGCTGAACAAGTTCTGCTACTCCCATTTGCTCCGCTGCTCCTGCAAATGTAATGCAACAGGTTCCTGCCAGCTGTGACTCTGCACTCAGGCAGAGTGGGCGCGAGACACTACCCCTTTCTGGAGGTGCTAGAGAACAGGTATGCTGGGGAAAGAGTTGGGTACAATTTCCTCAAGTTACTACTTGGCAAAGAGGGGATACGCATTAACCTCGCCATGTTCTGCTCTGAGATTTCACCTCAGCCCATGATGCAACCTGTGCCAAACTGATAGGCCTGGATGCAGCTACCCTTCCCAACTCACGAGGTGGGGGAGTGATAAAAAAACCACACAGTTTCTCTGTACTACCTCAACACCCAATCTCCCCTCGGACATGAGGGCTGAGCTACTGGCAGTTTCTGGCCTCTGTGGAGGCAGCTGGCCGAGAAAGCAGAGGGCAGGTTGCAGCAGCAGCTCTTCTGTTTCTGTTGTCACCTGATGGCAGTTTTTCCCCACGTAAACACATATTTTGGACAAGTCACTGGACAGACAGCAGAAATGGAGGTTCTGCTTTTGGCTGCTCATCAACCACCATATGATGGTGCTCATTTTGGTGATTACCTAGAAGATATTTACTCATTTACTCTGCATACCGCAAAGTGTTTACTAAGAAGGAAGCGGGGATGGATGAAGTACTTGGACCTTAGGGATAGGGGGTCTTTATAAGGGTGGAGTTTTTCCATGTTAGGCATCCTAGACATAAAGAGGACTTACTTAGGAGTAGAGGGAAGCACAAGAGAAAGGCTGCTGTATGCATTTTGTAACATTTTACAAAACCTTCAGGGCTTTTTTTTTTTTCTAGTAGTTTATACACTCGATAAGCATGGCAATTTTTCATAAACCTACTAACTTTAATAACATTCAGTTTCCCTTCAAAAAACCACAAAAATTCACAGAATACAGTCGTCCGATTATCTTACATTTCAAAATGGAGTACAAAGAGCTAAGAGCATCAGCTCTAGATAAAAGATCTACTTTATCGGAAGCCTTATCAGAAGTCAGTGCACTAAAAGCCAAGATTAAAAATTCAGCAGCAGCCTCGTCCACGGAGCTTTACTGAAAAGGCCAGGCAATTCAAAAGTCTGCTTCATCATAAAATTTAAGCTACTGAAGGTGCAATGGTGCCCTGGTCAACCCACAAAGGAAAGTCACAGAAGTTAGAAAACACAGCAGCTTCAGTCAACAGCCCAAGAAAATTCTGCTTCTGTATTAAAAAAAAAAGTCAGTCTTTAATATGAGATATTGTTGCCAGCAGGGGAGTTGCTCTGTGAAGAGCCTTTGGCATAAAATACTAGGCTAGCATCATTAAAAACACTAACTCAGTAAGAATCAGCACTTCACAAGAAAATGAGCATAACGCCTTCAAGAGAACTGCAAATCAAGGAAAAAAACAATTACCCACACAATAAGGCCTACGACACCTTTGACAGGTGACTCCAACATGACCGAACAGACCTTGCCACACTGTAGCGGCTCCACCAGCAGAATGCCTGCCCTCTCACCATGCCTGGAGGGTGCTCAGTTTGGACTTTTAAGACTTCAAGCCTGTAACTTGCTGAACGTGCGCCCTGCTTCCACTTGCAAAACGTCAACCACACATTAAGAAAACCCTAACAAAAGACACGGTGGTATTCGGCTCCCTCAGACACCCAAAAAGCCATCAGCTGGACCACAGCACGTCACCAACTCATGCTGTGCATAAACAGGTGACTTCTGAGAAAAGTTTCTGTCGCCGCTCGGTAGTTCTCGTTAGTACCAGAGCCCACACCACCCAAATCTCGGCCACCGCTCACGTTATCAATCTGATCACGAAGGCAAGAACGGGTGAGGACGCAGGAGCTGCACTGCCCGCTGGCTCTCGGCACGCCTGGCCCGAGAAAAGGTCTGCGGCAAGAGCCCGGGGCCGCTGCGGGCGGACTCGGGCTACGCAAGCCCCGGGGGCTCCGGCCGCACCGGCGTCCGTTAGCAAAGGCGCCCGGTGCGCGGGAGCGGTAAAGGCACAGCGCAGTAACGGCGGCACGAGCCGGCCCCGGCCTCTCCAGAGGCGTCCGCGGCGCCGGGACCCCCGCTTACCCGGCGGGGGCTAACTCCCGTCCCGCCGGTCTGACGGAGCCACGGCCAGAGCGGGGGAGGGGCCCTCGGGAGGGCGAGACGCCGGCACCGCTCGCTAACCGCCGCCGGCTCCGGCCGCGGGGCAGGCCCAAAGGCCGGGAGGCCGCCGCC